AAAAGTACGCCGATGACTTGGCGCGACAAAACTGGTGGCAAAAATGCGACAAACTGCAGAACACTTTGGAAACAAAACAGACCTGGAACCTGCTCAAATACCTGGCGGACCCGGCATCGACAAGAGGCGAAACCAACCGAACTCTCACGAGGATTGTACACAAATTCCAAGGAGACGTGCTAGAATACATCAAGAACAGGTACGTCCCGGATCAAGGGACACCCGAAACCGGAAACGAGTATACGGGACGAACCAACGAGAGTCTTGACAGAGACTTTGACGTTGGGGAGCTGGTGGCAGCCGCCGCCGAAACGACCAACAGCACACCGGGGAGGGACGGCATCACCAACGCCACGCTACGGAATCTACCGCAGAAGACTCAGAAGCAACTCACAAACTTTATTAACGAGGTATGGAACAGCGGAAAAGTCCCGGAAGAGTGGAAGCACTCGCAAATCAAGCTCATTCCCAAGCAAGGAAAAAAACCGCATATAGACAACATGAGACCTATCTCGCTAACGTCGAACGTAGGCAAACTCATGGAACGCATGGTGAAAAACAGGCTACAGCGCTACCTGGAGGAAGAGGGGCTCATGCCGCACTGCATGTACGGTTTTAGGCCACACCTGAGCACTCAAGACGTGCTACTTCAGATCAGGGAAGAAGTGCTGAGCGGCAAAATCCCCGCCAAAGGGGAGCACATCGTGCTAGCCATAGACCTAAAGGCGGCCTTCGACAACGTTGCCCACTCCGCCATACTAGACAACTTGAACGCCACCAACGGAGGCGAAAAGACCTACAACTACGTACGCTCCTTCCTGGAAAACCGCAGCGCCACCATCCAGATTGATGACACAAAGACTAAGACGTTCGACATGCCCAACAAGGGGACGCCGCAAGGAGCGGTGCTGTCACCCCTACTTTTTAATATAGCGCTCTTCAAGCTATCCGAGAGACTGGCAAAGATCCCGAACATAGAGTACGCGGTATACGCAGATGACATTACGATATGGATCACAAAAGGGTCGCTAGGAGAAAAGGAGGAAAGGCTGCAAAAGGCGGCAGAAGTCATACAAGAGGTGGCAAAAGCAAGCGGACTCCACTGCTCGCCCGAAAAATCAGAGATTCTGAGGATTCATGGACGAAGGTACGACAGAAGCATACCCATCAACGTCACGATAGAAGGCCACACAGTGCCCGAAGTGAAAGAACTAAGGCTGCTGGGTATGTGGTTACAACATAATGGGAAAGCCACGCTACAATGGGAAAAGATCTCCAAAACCATAGACATCATGGGAAGGATGATTAAGAGAGTCACCCACAGGAAGTGGGGTCTAAAAGAACGAGACGTGGCGAAGATTGTTCAAGCCGTCGTCGTAAGTAGGATCACTTACTGCATGCCGTACCACCGGATCACCAAAACAGAAGAGAGAAAGATCGACTGCAAAATGAGGGGAGTGTACAAGCTAGCGCTAGGACTACCCATTACCACATCAACCGAAAAACTCATGGCCATGGGCATCTCTAACACGTACGGAGAGCACAAGGATGCCATGCTGACGGCGCAGAAAGAGAGACTCGGACGCAGCGAGACCGGAAGACGCCTGGCGACCAAACTCGGCTTCAACGACGTGAGGACAAAGGCGACCAGAACGGCCGACCTAAGCGATATGGCGAAAAATACGTACATCGTACGACCCATACCAAAACACATGAGACCGGATACGCATGAACAACGAAGACTAGCCAGAGCCAGGTACTACGAAAGGATAGCCAAAAAGGGAGAGGTGGCGTACGTCGACGCTGCCGACTACCCGGACCGGGATGCAAAGGTAGCCGTATACCTGGACAAAAACAAGATGGAGAAAAATAGCTGCTCGATGCCCAGGGCAACGACGGAAGAGGCCGAAGAGAGAGCCATAGCGCTCGCCATGATGGACGGCTATAGGAAGGGCAGTAGCATGCTCATCCTGTCGGACTCTCAACAGGCCTGTCGAAATTTTCTAAAAGGCAGGATTGGAGCGAGAACCGCCAAACTTATAAATAAGGTCACCCCGAAAAGTGCTGGAGTAACGCACGAAATCGCGTGGATTCCCGCTCACGCGGGCGTCACGGGTAACCAGGCAGCAGACGACCGAGCCCGTGCTCATACCTTCCGGGCCGGTCTGACGCAGCCGGGGAAAACCGTTATCGTGAACCCGAGCTACTCGGAGCTACTTGACCACTACAAGGCCTGCCGATTCCAGTTTCCGGAGCCCGCGGACAGGTTCGACAGAATAGATGCCGCCCTATGGAGGAGACTCCAGGCGGGCAACTTCCCGAACAAGGTGCTGGCCAGACACGTGGATCCGGACAGGTACGAAGACGACAGCTGCCCCTGGTGCGGCTCCCGAGCGACACTCTACCACTCCACGTGGGAATGTACGAATAACGACGAGCTTCCCAAGCTCCAAGACGAAGAAAAAGGCCAAGCCGGCTGGGAGAGGCTGCTGCGGAGCAGGGACCCCGGAGAGCAGCTTAGGCTGCTCGAAAGGGCCAAACTTGCTGGCCAGCTTCTAGGGATCCTGGAATGAGGAACCCTCCCCGCTAAGGCTCCACTTCCGTCATCATCAGCATCATCCCTCATGTTCCAATAAACGTTTTCCTCCTCCTCCTCCCCTCGATACGTTTGCGTTTGTCTTGCAACTAGCGTTCGAATGCGCCACTGCACGAGGCCCGTGTCTCGAGCGGCCCTTGGAAGCAAATGGCGGCGCTCATTCACACTGGAAGCGGATCCGCGTTCGCAAAGCGGCTGCGAACGCGGTTGTATAAAGATCCAGCACAATTGCACGCGCACTTGATGCCATCGAGCACGCGTGCAATTGTACTGAATCTTTATACAACCGCGTTCGCAACCTCTTTGCGAACGCGGATCCGCTTCCAGTGTAAATGAGCGGTTAGAGGCAAATGACGGCGGAGCAGCCGCTCGTGGCATGCGCGTGTCTTGCGCGTTTCCACATTGGTTGGCGGTACTTGCAAAAAACGCCTTTATCAAGGGGCTTCAGGAGGTTTTGCCTTGACATAGAACATTGAAAATACCCGCTTGCCAACCAGCAGACAGAGCTAGACACGTCATTGCGTTGTCTCTAGGTGGCTCGTCCAGGAGGAATCCCATACTAAATCAGTGTGGAGTGTATTTGTAGACGACAAATCAGCGGTTCGATCTTTGTATGGCAGTACTTAAAAAGAAACTGAAGCGGCTTTGTATTTCAGGAAAAACACTTAAATCGTCTTCATTTGGCTTCCAGAATCACAAAATCAAGATTTTTTTATTTTTTTATTTGATACAAAAAGGCTGAAGAAAATCATATTCAAAGTACCGCTGAAGCCCCTCCTTCCTGTGTGTGACGTCATATCCAGAGTTTTTGGAATTTCCGCTCTCCTGCGTCTTCAGCGCCTATCAAAGCTATGCAAGAGCCCTCTTGCTATTTTTAAAAAAGGTAAAAAAGAAAAGACCTCCCGACTGTTGTCAGTTTTTGTTTTCTCTTTTTTTCGTTTACTTCAATTCATCATTACCATAGCAAGACAGGCTATTGCCATTTTATATTATAATGTGTCTTTCTCCCCAGCATTGGCCTTTGTGGAGGCTCGTCAATGTCCGTTTCAGTGGCATCGGTAAGACAAGAGAAGGTCAGCAATGGCGGCTGTAACCTGACGGGTGTGCAAGTCGTTAGAAAATCGTCTATAGACGCTTTACACACGCGCCAAATTACAGCCGCCATTGCTGAACTTCTCTTGTCTTACCGAGATGCCTAGCAACTGAAATGGTAGTTGACGATCCTCTACAAAGGTCGATGCTTTAGAAAAGGACACAGTTGAATCTAATATGGCAATAACCTGGCCTGCTATGGTAATGATGAAGTGAAATAAACGGAATAAGAGGAAACAAAAACTGAAGGTCAGTTATTGCGGCGTCCATGCACAGCTGCTGCTAAGCATCTATACCTGGCAAGCTTGTATTTGCTCGCGCTGCCCACACGAGCGACACGCGCTTGGAGGCCGAAATCTATATGTATGACGTAACGATTGGTCGTAGGTTTTTTGCGTTTTCTGGTGTTTAGTTACATCTTCAGGAAAACGAGCGTGGCATTCAGATTCACGGAATAACAACACTCTAGAATTCGCCTCTCTCTTTTTTTTTTTTTTTTTTTACGCTTTTAGATAGCAATTTTTCTGCGGAGAAAACATTGTATTGTTTTGCAAGGTAAATCATCATCACACTAAACTATTTAGAGTGATAAAAAATGAAAAGTACTTAATTTTGCACTGGGGAGTGGTAACGGTTCTTTGAAGTAACTTTCCCAAATAAGCGCATTTTGCATTTCGATGGAGGCTATTAGGATACTAACAAAATCTACTGTCATGCTGAGAGGTAACTGCACTACTCTAAAGTGTCTCGTCCCACTTTGGGGGCCCTCTTTTCTACTATCAACAATCTGTTAAGTACTAGGTTTGTTCAATGACGTATAGAGAAAGCCCTTTACATCAGGAGAGGTCATATTTGATGCGGAATGAATAACTCTTTGCATGGTGTCAACATCGCTATCAACGTGTTTTCGATAATGTTTTGAGGCACTGTTATTAATCAGCTACAAACAGTAAAAATCTATGTTTACTTTATTTGTTACATAAAGTAGCCTAAATACGAATTGGTGCATCACTCTGCCAACCGACAAACGCTACGAAAAAAACTAAACAACCTACGGGCCCATGTTAGAGCACTCCTACCTATGTTTTTATTATTTTTTATTATTAAGATATTTCATAGCTCGCAGCTTAGTATCACTATACTTCGAGGTCGACGAGCAAAGTTTATAATCTGAGTCAATCAGATCGGACGAGGAGCGCCTATAGACTTTGGACTCGAGATCATATAAAATACGGGCTCTACCCGAAGTGCCACAACAGGAGCCAACACCCCCGGTCGTTTTCTCTTCTTCCCCCAATTCCTTGGGCTGCAGCCTCCCGTGGGTCACCCCGGTTGGAGCTCGGTGCTCGACTCGACGGCGTTCCGGTCGGCGTGCCCGCAGTTCGACTACCGGGGCAGGATTGTGGGCAACGAAGACTGCCTCTTCCTCAACGTCTTCACGCCGGGAGTCCGGGTAAGCGCAAGCAAAATACAACACGCTACATTCTGTGCAGCACACAAGCCCCTTCCCCAAAGCTATCTGTTCGCCTAAATCAATCATTTTCTTTTCTCCGCTGGCCTTCTCTCCAGTGTTCGCTCCGCTAAATTAAAAAGAGCAGAGGGTATTATGGGAGGAGCCTGCCCCGGTTCTCATCCTGCAACGAACTACATGGACAATGAGACGCGTGAATGTCTCGTTGTCGGTTTTATTCTCCAGCATTAGCCAAAGTCCAGAGCGTCCTCATTGCATTGGACTCACCACTGCCGAAGAAGAGATCACGAAGAAAGGAACGTGTTCAGAATAGGTGTCTCACCGTTTGTATACGAACGATGAGACACCTTTTGTCATCGATAGCTTTAAGGGGCGGTTCAACGATTTTGGGTAGGAAGGTTTTCCCTTTTGCACATGCTTTCTGGCACTATGGTGGGGGGACCCAAGTATACCCGCACGTAATGCCGCTGTCCAAGAAGCTTCTTTTGCCGCCGCGTAATTTCAAGGACAAAAGAGGACGTTTTCTTTCAGTCTCTTCCTTCGCCGAACTTGACGAAAGTTGAGGGGATCGCATTGTTGGCGTTCCAAACAATTCGGTCCCCAGGATTTCGTCATCAAGCTTGACATTGCTGCATTGTAGAACGCCCACGAGCGAATCACGATGCAGGAAGCATGAACATCATAACTACGACCTGCGTTTCTTGAGTTTTCGGTGTCTATACCTAACTACAATTCATTTGTCTCTTCGGAAGACAAAAAAAAAAAAAAAAAGATAGCGGTGGTGATGCCTTTTTTCTTACTATCTCGAGCTTGTCGAGCTGGATTTGTTTCTTTCGAGCTAATAAATAAATTGAGCGCTGCATGGGGCACGTAGCGCTCAGTGGAACACCGAGCCGGAGAGGCCTCTCGAACTGTTATATTAAAATAAATTTTAACTTGCACGCATTAGTTTTGCTGTCAATAGCACTCAGTGGTTCATAAGAAGCAAATTAGTTTATATTATGATGCTCCTTTATACTTGTGGATGCGTCTCACACGTGCACAAGAACACGAGGACATTTGTTTTTTTTATATGCAATTGATATTTTTTTATATTTTTTTATGTAGGCGTCACTGTTATCTATTTCTTTGTTGCTGATTTTTTATGTTTCTCTGATGGAAGTAACTTCTATTTTTGAATAATTTCTTGTGTTATTTTTATTGTTTTTTTTTCTCACCCCTGCCTTGTACTTGAAGAGGCTGAGGACTGGTCAAGTTGCTCGGTCAGTTTTTTTTTCTGGGCCCCCATAACACTTACATGCTCGATAAAGTTTTTCTTCTCCTTCATCATCAACATCATCATCATCATCATAATAATAATCATCAACTTCTTCTTCGACTCATTCATCTTAATATTATTATTATTGTTGTTATTATTAACAAGACAGGACAATCTAAGATAACATCAGATGTAGAGAATTAAGAGAGAAAAAAAAAAAAAACTGCTGTGCACATTTTATTCAGCTATTTAAAATATATGAACAAAACTTTTTTTTGTAGCATGTGTTAGTTCTGCCTTTTACCGCAGTTGCCTTCCACAGGGTGGCGACCACTTGGACGCTTCACTGCCATACGTTTTCTCTGTCACATACGCGCTGTGGCATCTATCGAAACGAAAACGTCATTCTGACTAGCGCTTTTCCGATATTCACGCGTCCGAAGTTTGTTCAGAAACCCAATTTCACCCCGGAAGCCTTTTTTCCGTTGCCAATCTGCAACCACGGCAATGTGCACACTATTGTTTCCGTGAAACGTCACCACAAGTTACCAATTACGCCGTAGAGCGCCACTAGGAAGCTTCCAGGACTTCTGCAAGATTGTGTATTTTAGGAAGAAAAAGCGGAAGCAATGACTGTGTCGAAACAAACGAATATAGTATTGTAAAAGAGCTAGGTCACATTGCACGATGGAGACACCCTGCATATGCCGACTGCTCGCTTCGAATCATCCTCCAGCGGTTTTAGCGCCTTCACTCTCAGACAAAAAACAACAGTTAAAATGGGAGTTATAATGGGAACTTAGTTTTTCACTGCCAGCGATGAGCCTCCCTCACTCTTGCTCTCGATGGTTTTTCAAAAAATATCAAGTTGTTTGCATTTCGCTTTCAACGAGGTCTCGGCGACGGTCTCGTCGTAATAAACAATTGTCTTCCGCCTGTGTCTTGAAACAGGTTTTCAATTTACAGATGTGTGACTAAAGGAATAACAATAAAACGTGGCCATCGCTTTCATCAGGATCTGTCAGTCAATTTTACGAACAACAACGGCTAGTCTCCAGTCGTGTTATTTTTTTGTTTTGTTTTAGGAAATATTTTAAGAAGTGTCTGCAATAAACGGTTCCCAAAACTTTAGCTGTTCTTTTTATACAAACCAAACTTTGATTTATTTTAGACCCCGGTAATATTTTAGTTAAATACGCAGCGCAACGGCTTAGACAACAGGGACTTTTAGCAAACCATTACCGTTTCCGCGTACCGCACTACAGGAGTCTTTGAAGCATGCTTTTAAGAGCTTGCGTAGGTGATACCGTGACCGTGGGGCGCGCGCTTAAAAGCATGCTTCAAATGCTCCGGTAGTGCGGTACGGAGAAAACGGTAACGGAATTGCCAAAAGACCACAATATGTTATAAGAAAGGATGTTACAACTGTACCTTCCCTGTTTTACAACAGTTTCCAGTGAAATTTATGCCGAAGGCTTTTGAACAAGTGGCGAATGAGCTCGCTATTCTGATTGTGTGCGTGCCACTCGACGTGCGCCAATGCGCCGACTCTTCAAATCAAGCCGTCCCAAAAGGAGACTTCTTGCCGGCGCCATTTTTAGTGTCCATGCAACGCGCACTTTTCTTGTTACCCGGAACAACGGTCTGTTACTCTGCTAACTTCATGCCATTATCTGTCTTGTTGGCAAGTACGGGTTTTCTTTATTTTTATTTTTTATGGTGAAAGATGAAGAAGCGATACGTCAATCACTGGGCATCAAGAACGTGCGGAGTGCCCACGTTGAAGCTGTAGCAAGGCGAGCGCCGCCACGCAGAAGGGGAACAAAATCACGTGAACACGTACATGCGGGCTATCCGCGGAGATCTGTCCATATCTGCAAAGAAACGAACGGACACGGATAAATATATTTTTCAGCTTTGCCAAGTAGCGTATCGGATGTATAGATACACTGTTCTGCGGCTGCCTGTTGACCGGATGGTTTCTTTGCAGATTGGATGGTGAGTTAAATGGCTTAGATACGCGAGGCTGCGGTTGTTTAAGACGAGGTAGATGTGGTGATGGCTCTCGTTGACGATCTAGATGCGTGTATTCGGTTTAATTAGTCATATATATGCTCTACAAGTTCAGCTTCGGAGATTTCTGCCTGCTATGAGGAAGACCGCTCTAGGTGTTTGCTACGTCACTCTAAAGTTTTCTCTCTCGAAAAGCGCTCTGGAGAGACAATTGTTGTACGGGGAGCACTCGGCGAACGACGGGGATGATAATTTTTAGACCCCAAAGAGCGGTCTGAGCAGTGGTACTGAGCATGGTGAAACGTCATGTTCAGTGGCAAAGCGCAGACAGCTTTTTTTAATTTTTCTTTTTGTTTAAAATCATAATTAGTTCCGCGATTGGCCGACCTCCCTTCGTAGACTGCAGCGATTGGCTCTCTTAGGTGCTTTGTGGAAGAGCAGACGCTCCAGATTTCTTAGAGTGATGTGACCTTGGAATGGTTTTGAGACATTTTAGACGGCGCTGTTTCGCTGTGGGTTTCACTTAGAAGTTCGCTTCACATTTGCGTTGCTTACCCGGTAACATGAGGAGTCTCTAATGCCGGTATATATGTCTCGACATTTTGGGATGGGCTATCTGACCCCCACACACAAATGAGTTTGAGACTCCTGCACTAGTGGCACACAAGTGGTGTCCAAATTTTGGGGGACGGGGGGGGGGGGGGGGGGGGGGGGGGAGAGAGATGAGTTTGCAGAGAGATGACTATTTTGATGACCTATCATTTGCTATGTCGTCATCAAAAACGTTATTTATTCCTGAAGCAGCCCGTGTAGGTCAATCTTCTATTTAAAAGGTTGACCTGAAAAAGTTTAAAGAAGCCCCCCCCCCCCCCCCCTTTCCGCCCTAAATCCGCCATAGTGCTAGTAATTTTGTGTAAAGAAAGAAACATTCCTATTAATATTGTTGCACAGCCCCTTTAAGCAGAACCCACAAATATAGGTCGGATGCAGACAACGAAATCACCATCCGCACAGGGCTTCACTCATATCCCGTATGCGGAGTGCAAGTTCGCCTGCTTCTTTTGTAGGCGTTGCGTTGGTGCCAGAGCGCCGAGCTCTGATTGGCTCGATTGGAAGAATAGCTGGTAGATCTGAAGGCAGCTATCATTGAGGTCTACCCACTATCCTTCCAATTAGAGCCAATCACAGCTCGGCGTCTTTCTGACGTCACCACAACTCCTGCGGAAGAAGCAGACGAACTTGCGCTCCACATAGGAACACAAAAGCACAAAACATGCAAAATAAAAACTTTCGCACACCGCATTGCATACGTAAGTCCCAGATTGTGCTACTTGGATGCAAGCATGTGCAGCATGTAGGCAAATCTAAGCTTGACATATTTGGAATTCTATGCACGCTTGCCCAGTTTGTGGGCACGGCAGTGAGAACGTGCCGTTTGCACTTTCGAATATACAGTACTATTAAAATATAGCATATGTACGCCTAATATTAATCCTTAACACGATTACAGGCAACTAGTTCTGGGCATGAGGTGCCCTTTCTTTATTAACAGATAAAAAAATGCAAAAATTAGATTACTACCAGCGGTGCTGGCTACATATTTGCACGAGGAAATAGTGCCTATTTGTTTGAGAATGCACAATTACTGCAGAAACCCAGCACCGGGCAAAATACCACAAGGTATAAAATTACAACATTAAGAACAACAAGTAAAAGTGCAAGTGATGTATAATATCATGAAAGGTACCCGAGACTGGGGTTCATAGCGGACAAAACGAACACATTGGCTTCTCCAACACCACTATGTTTGTCTTAAAGGAGCAATGAAACGATTTTTCTACTTTCGGTAAGTATACTTAGAATCACCCCCTAACGTCACAAACTCAATAAGCTTGCCCCAGTTTTTCTTTCTAGGAAATGACAGGCACCGAACAAATTTGAGAAATATGACCATCGTTCCTTCCCTCAACTCGGAGCCAGAACAAGCGGTCACGTGGTCTGGTGCATATACCGTATCCTATGTCGCCAACGTTAATCATAGCCACGCGCTGGGAATAGCAAAGTAGAAAACGCTTGCTGAGCCCCAGGCATTGTTAGAGTTCGGCTATTCACATCACCGCAGTGGTTGGACACGAGCCACTACTCGAGTGTCCGCCGAGACATTGATTGTTACGAGCCGAGGTCGAGTGCTCACTCAATTCTCGTGTTCAAACCATGCACCGCGCTCAGCTGGCATCAGGAGGGTGGTTTCGATCCCACCATTACGTCATCAAGCTTTGAGAAAGCAAGACTGAAAGAATTAGTACCCATTTAACCTCGCAATTTCACCGCAACAAGGAAGCTTCTGAATCAGTGGCGGTCCGTGCAAGTATACTTGGACCAGACTAGGACCAGTACGCCTCTGCAAAGTCATGAACATTCCCCTCGATATCGTTTCATGACCCCTAGCTTTAAGATGATTCAACAAGCCTTGTGGCAATCTCATTCTGTCCCACGATGCTTTTTTCCTTCTTGTTTGCTTTATAGAGCAAGTATGTACAGTCCCGCGATTGCACTATCCTCGCTACCAATAATGGGCAAATTCTGCGCGCAGCCCGGTCAGCAGCAGCCCAGCTACCCGGTGATGGTGTTCGTCCACGGCGGCAACTTCGAGTCCGGAGCGGCCAGTCAGTACGGGCCCGAGCGTCTGGTGGACAAGGACGTCGTCGTGGTCACCATCAACTACCGGATAGGCATCCTGGGTGAGAAGACTCTCTTGTCCTGCCTTTCCAAACAGATCGCGAAGCTCGTTCTTGTGAAGCAACGCGTCGATGACTTCGCTAACCTCATCGGGACCATAATCACTCAGGTGAGGCGAGCCCCCTTCATCTCATTACTCCTCATCCAATGAGCGTTATGCGGCACTGACAGCTTAAGAAACGCAGGGCGTGACTCTATAAGCTTCTTGCTGCGTGATTGGTTTTTCGGCAATCTTGTCGGTTCATGCCTCACTCTCAGTGGCTGCGGAACAATAATGAGATGCTGACAGCTCGCCACGCCGTGCTGTCAGCAACTATTGCCTTTGGTTTGCTCTAAAGTATGGGGAAATTATGGCAGACCGTCTTTTGTATGATCTATGAACAGTGTGACCCCGGTTTAACGAACCAGCTCTGCCGCTTTTACCCCCAAGATATTAATAAAATCCATTCATTCTCATAAAAACCGAGATATATATGTATAAGTACTTACGTATCTTTAAAATGAAATAGGAATTTCTTCTTAGGCATATAATTAAATGGGGACCATTGTATTCCCCTCACATGTTTAACGTGTTTACCAAACGGCTGTGAAGACTTTACGGGAAATTCCATCTGTGCAAATAAGGCGCATTGAAATTTCTCCAGCACGAATCGCCAACGTGTCGTGGCTATAGCGTAGCGGCTGCAGCCACTTCGCGCACGGAAGCTTTCGTGTAGCTTGTGTTTGAACAGGGCGACAACTGATGAGTGTGTTTTTCGTTTGCGACAATAGGAGTCAGAACACTTAATTATTGGCACTGCCGCGTCGCCACATTTTGCTATTTTTGGCTTGCACTTAGCCAATCGCTGCCTTCTTGGGTGGATATCGATAGACCTTCCGCGTGTTATGATCGATGTGCTCGGAAAGTTATACACGTACGCCATGGTCGCGGTATTTAACCTTAGAAACTCACGTTTTTATATATGTTCCAAAAATCTAAGTAATTATTTGAGCACTACTATGTAAAGAATCGAGCGGAGCTCGACTGCGGCATTACTTTTTGGTTCTGAAATGAGGCTGAAAACATTGCGCATGGTAATTCGGTGAATCGGCACTATTTGTTCACTCTTTCGTGCAACTGAGAGTTGAAACCTTCGGGGCGTCAGGATCCCAGGCATCTCATTGTGATTCCGCAGCCAATCAGAGTGCGGCGTTAGACGATAAGACCACCGAAGAACCAGTTATGAAGCAAGATATGCATTAACATAATAAGCCACCCACTTGCATTTCTTAAGCCGCCGTTAAGTGTAACACCTACGGCGGTGGGAAGCAGGCGACATCCATGCCGTGGCGTACGACGCCCAGCACGCGTATGTTCGTCGCTTCGGAAAACGGGGAAACCACGCGCCACACGCACGAACGCTGAGAATGCTGCCGTCCAGAAGTCATTTTCTAGAACTGTATCTATGATTGCCAGCAAATGTTTCGAGCATGAAGCTAAACGAGATGATCGTTTCGCGCCAGCCGCCTTCTCGCGTCAGTCGCTTCTCCGAGGCGCGCCGGTGTAATGCGGCCAAGCTTGACGTGAGGGCATCCGCGTTTGTTTTTATTTATTTATTTATTTATTTATTTTAGCGGTGAAGCTTGACGCGAGCGGCGCGGTGCTCGCGTCAAGGCGCGCGACTACTTATATTTTTTGCCATTGCGGAGCCATACTAACAAAGCTAGCGAGTGTAATCGAAATAGATAAATAAATAAGTTGAATTTGTCGGCGTGATTTTTGTGACCGCGTAAATTTCGAGGAAACTCGAATACTTCGAACAGCTAAAGTGTGCTGCGAATCGAAACGACCAGCAAAACTAAATTCGATACTGTCGCTCCCCTAATAAAGTATGAGTAAATATGAAGCGTTATGTTCCCGCGACACGGCGATGGTTTATTATTTACCAATTTTGTCCGGCGACTCAAAGTAATTTCATTTGTCACGTAATCTGCCGTTGGAAGGCGTCAAATTGTATTTTTTTCTTTGGCTGACAATTGAAAACGAATGCATTAAACAAATAACGCGGAAAGTGTTTAAGTGCTGAATTTCACGCAAACACCGTAAAAAGCGTATAACGAAGAACCGTTCAAGTGTCCAACGGCGGGATCACATTAAGATGTTCGCCTGTCAGCTATTAGCGGCGAGATGTTTCGGTGGCGCCCTCGTTCGGTTACCTTTCGTGACGTCATTACGTTAGGAACAACAAGTTCGATGGTGTTTGTAATGGGCATGGTGGAAGCCTGAAATTATAGCGCTCTCTAAGCAACACTGCCAACACCGTCAAAATTGAAGTTCTTACATTCCTCTTATTTCCGTCGATGAGATATCCTTTGCTGACGTCATAGTCAGCATTCGGCCAATTGTGGTGGGCCGACAACAGCGACGCTTTTGATCGCTCACGTCGCCAATAGCATGCGAACATCTTGATGTGATCGTCGCTATGGAGGCTCCATCAGTGTTGGATCTCCATAATGATACCAACGAATTTCTGGCTAGAAACGTGAATACCTCTCGCAGTCGCACATATATTATACCACACTCCAGCATACTCGGAACACCCGCTTGGCACCTTTAAAACATCGCGCCGTGTCTGACGCGACGTCCTCCTGGCCGCCGCAGGGTTTCTGAGCACGGGCGACAACGTGTGTCCCGGAAACCTGGGCCTGCTGGACCAGAACCTGGCGCTCAAGTGGGTGCGCGACAACGTGGGGCACTTCGGCGGAGACCCCGGTCGGGTTACGCTCTTCGGACAGGGATCGGGCGCCGTCAGTGTCTTCCTGCACATCCTTTCGCCGCTCAGTCAAGGTGAGATGTACGCTCAGCTACTGGCGTATCCTCTTCTTCGTTTGATTGATCCGAAAATGGTGCCTGAAGCAGGTCTCCAATTGGTGTGTTTACCGTGGTCCCAAAAGTGGTTCCTTGATTTCGCTGTTGCCTGTTGCGATTCTGGCGGTGGCACAGGTGGACTCGGCGGACGCCTGTTCTGATGTGGGTTGCCCTGTAGTCAGACATTCGACAGAAACCAAAGCCGACACAAGGTGGGACGCAGCGACGACAGGAACCAATGCGCCCAGCTCTCTTTTTTCGCCAGCATTTCTGCGACTACGCTTCGGGATCGGGACATCTGACAGCATAACACGCCGTCTCCTGTGGTGAAATTTGTTGGCACCTCGAGACGACTTTGGATGCTTGGACGGGATAGCACGCTGAACATACCAGTCAGAGACGCGTTCCACACACCGTAGTCTAAGTGGATGAACCGTACGGCGTTACCATGAACGGTGGCTGCATCCATATGGACTCTTTAAATATGAGTGCAGCTTCACTTCACCACATATGCACCTTCACTTCACCACTCAGTACGATAGTGTCATTTGCCGGTCTCCCCAAAAACGACGAAGCTTTCGCCGGTGTCGTTTCCAGATTGACTCCCGCAAAAAAGCCAAGCACCACCCAATGGCTAACGCGCCTTGGCGAATTGTGCAATGAGCAGAGCGTTGCTTTTCTTTTTTTTTTTTTTTGTGGGCTTGAGACATCTACTGCAGCTCAATTTTTTCCAGGCTACAGTACTTGCGTACAACATACCAGGATTAAAATAAGATTAAACGTCAGGGCCCGTTTGCTCGAAGCTGGTTAACTAACCGTGGTTAACCGGATTTCCCTACGAGGGGGAAGTTTAGGTCATGTGACCGGCAGAGTAAGGACGGCGGGGAAACATGGCGGTGCCCCGGTGAGTGAGCGCCGCTCGCTTCGGAGATAATACGTCGTTGTAGCTGCAATATCGGGCACGTTTGCCAGAAATGAATGGTGCAGGAGGCTTTCGATTTGCCCTACCTCAATTAAAACGCAAAGCATGAGCAATGACATCGCCGCATTTTTTAGATAGTCTTTCGATTCTGGCAATTCGTAAGCCTAAATGAACGCGATAATTGTCGGCATGGCAACGTCTTTGAAAAGTGGATTGCCTTGACTCAGTCGGCCGGGTACTGATAGTACACAAAAGCAGACAGCGTCCCCATAGACCTGATGCTGAATTTCCCAAGCACCGATGTGCATGCTACGAGTGTAGTTACACGCGCTGCGCGTGCTGGCGTCTGCAGTAGTAAGTATTCGAAAGCAAAACGCCTACAACAAATTTTGCCGTGCACGCGCGTTCGTCAAAGATTTATTATGATTAGTTACTTCGAATATTTTATAAGTGGAAGGCCAGTGCGCGCGGATCGTTGAATTACACTTCCAGTGTTCTCCTCAATGTTAGGGTAATTTACTAATAGGTCAATTTTCACTGGAGCCGAATTACAGGTTTCTCAATTTATGAGAGTTATATACAGTTCTTACATGCTGGCCAACCATGCTGCCGGTGTGACACCCGCATTTCACTGCTCACTTCTTTCTCATCATTTCTAGGACTGAACTTCGTCGTCCACTTTTGAACTCGGAAGGAAATTTCAACGAGGCTTGTCTTCACTTCAGACAGCCAAATATTTCGAAATTTTCCAAACATGGGTTAATTTAGTTTTACCTTACCGATTATCTGTACCACGAGCAATAAAAATTGTTTTTCGAGCTCAAATGTATGCTGCGCTGCGTCGCGAAAACACGGTAGCGCGCATTTTTGGGTCCCCCCATTTAGGGAACCTCTTCACGGAAGCCACTTATATTCGCCACAGCCAGGAGGTGACACCAGCTACCAACCCAATAATAAAACACGGAGCTATCGCTCATCCACCCCTCGTCAAACTTGGCTAGGTACTTTTAGGTACCTAGTAGGGAAGGGCAGTTAACTTTTAACCGCGGTTAAAGTTAACCGGCTTCGAGCAAACGGGCCCAGTTGGTAACCGTTCGGTGCGTATTTATCGGCGTTCTTTCAGTACACTCGAAAAAAACGTCTGTACGTCTATACTTGCATGCACGACATTCGGAGAGCTAATCACCACAACTTACGGAGGCAGCTCAGTGAATGACGATGCCGAAACAGATGTATACATTAAAAAACGCAGTCTGAGTTGTGACATTAACCAATGCAAGCGTGACGTTTTGCATTGCTTAATGTCACAACTCAGACTGTGTTTTTTGGTCTAATCATATGTTTCGGAATCGTCATTCGCTGAGCTGCCTTCGTAAGTTGCGGTGATTGGCTCTCTAAGTGTTGTGCGTGAAAGCAGACACACATACTTTTTTTTAGTGTAGATTCTGAAAGCCGAGAACCTTAATCATTGTCCCGGTGGTTGCCCTCAGGTCTGTTCCAGCGAGCCATCGCCGAGAGCGGCTCCCCGCTCAGCGACTGGAGCATCGAGCCCAAGCCGACCCAGTTCAAGGCCACCGTGGCCGAAGGGTCTGGCTGCAAAGGAGACGGGACCTCGTACGCCTTCATCGAGTGCCTGTCACAGACGCCCACCAGCGAGCTCTTGCGGATACAGCAGGAGAGCAAGGTAGCCCATCATACCTCCTAGTTAGAGAACACAGAAATTTGCCCTTGTCGCTGCCATGTCTCTACTCGTCTGAGAAAGCACCTTCGATTGCAGGCATGCCGAAGTTACCTTTGCTTGCGAACCGTGGGTGCTTTTACATGGGACGCGCGAACCCTATACGAACGAAATCAAAGTCCGTCGAGCGCGGCCAATTCAGTTTGGCAGCAATGAAACATGTGCATGTAAAAGGCACACGTAATGGACGCATCACTTATAAAGCATTATTGGAGTTACCGGCGTGAACACTTGGCATGGAACTTTCTAATCTATGCGGAGCGCAAGTTGGTTGCGATGATGTCAGGACGCAGAGCTCATTATGGCTTATTAAAAAAAAAAAAAAGATAGCGAGCAGATCTCAAGGTATCTTGCATTGAAATCTACCCACTATCCTTTCAATCAAAGCCAATCAGAACTCGGCTTCGTTCTGACGTCACCGCAACCCCTGCGCAAGAAGCAGACGACTTGCTCTTTGCATTGGGAAGGAGATCCAACCGTCGCGCCTTTTGTGGCTAAGTGGGGAACTACACCGATGTGGACAACAACGACATAGACGATTTGTTTGTGTTTTGAAGAAGCGCTCGGTCCACATAGCCGACCGTTCCGTCAGCGTTCGGTTGGGGCTCGTGTTCAATCAATGAAGCCGAACTCGGACGCACCACGCATGGGTTATTTACTTCGTCTTTCTCAACTGAACACGAGGGTGCCCAATTTTTTACCCTTGCTCAATCGAGAAAGATGAAGTAAAGAATCCAGTACACATGTCTTGTGTTGGAAAACATAGAACTCCAGGAAAAACGAACTGGACATAGTGCCCTTTATAGTTCCATCTCCTCCCCAATTAAGAAAAGTTTGTCAAAACTTCGGGTTTTTGAGATTTGACCAAAGTAAAACCCGTTAATACAAAAAAAAAAAGCTCTATCTGGCGAGCAAGTGTTCTAAAATGTGTCTCTCGCGCATATAGAAACGCAAAGGGCACATTTCGGGGGTATACAAACGCACGAGGTACGCAAAGCAGCAGACGAACTTGCATGACGTATTGCGACATGGTTTTGAACCATGCAGTGCGGGGGAAGAAAAAACAATATACGACCCAGAATCGTGGCCTCTGATGCGTTCCCGTCTCGGGGTTTCGAAGCACGTCGTTATGGCAACGAGCCGCCCTGCGTAGTTTTTTTTTACTTGCGAGACATCCAATTCAGCAACAACCTTATTTTCCGCAGATGTTCGGAGATTTTCCTATCCGGACTGCCCCAGTGGTGGAAACCTTCAACCCCCAGGGCGCTTTCCTGCCTGAAGACCCGATGACTCTGCTCGACCGCGGAGACTTCAGACGACTGCCTCTCATTGCTGGAATTAACAAAGACGAGACGGCATTTTTTTATCCCTGTAAGCTAACCAGACTTTTGGAGATACATTTGCGTTTACTCTCGTGGTTTTACAATATTATTTCCCCTTAGATTTTCTTTTCTCTCACGTTGTTTTCTCTCCCAGCAGAGACCAACCCTCTCCGTAAAGCACTTGGATGAGCTAATCCCTGTGATCTACGGAGGCGGTTTGGCGAATGACGAGACCGGGTATATGTTTAGACCTAAAATACAACAACAATGTGCGCTGTAGCAGTGATTACGATGAAACGTCGTGCTCAGAACCACAGCGCAAACCTTATTTATTTAGGTCTAAACATATGCTTAGCCTCGTCGTACGTCGCGCTGCTTCTATAGATTGTAGCAATTGGCTCTTTCAAGTTTCTTGCGGGGGAAAGTTGACGCTCCAGATTTATTAGAGCGTTGTCCTTCGAAAGCAACAACAGCCCCAAGAAACGAAACAACAACAACGACTGACCGTATTAAGAACCTAAAATAAGCATGTTTGTTGTCAGCCCTATCATATCGTTATGACTTAATAGCCAATGAGAGAAGAGTGTCATCAAATAAGAACAAGCTAGTCATGGAACGACGAATGTCGTCGCATTTAGTCACACTTTTTTTCTTTTCTAGCGACGTTTATAGCGATAAAACTGTCTGCTGACATACGCTTATTGTCCTCGCAGTTCTTTCGGGCTACATGAGGCAGCAGGCAGCGCGCAGTCCTTCCTACGTGCGGAACATGCTGCTGCCGCAGTTCTTCAGCAGCGCTCTGCGGTACGACAGGCCGTCGCCAGATGTCCTCGACTCAGTCGACGACTTCTACTTCAAGTACATCAACCCTCTGGATACCAACAACATGATCCGCGCTTTCATTAACGTGAGTTTATACAGCGGGTCAGAGCAAGATCACTATCTTCCAATAACCTCCCCCTCCCCCCCTTACGCCTGCTTCTGCACAACCGGCCCTGTGAACTGACATGCCTCGTTTTCCGTTCGGCTGTTGTAAACAGTCAGACCGCGGGCCGGCTGCTGGTAGGACGAACAAGAGCTTGGTTTGCTGATGATTTGATTGATTTCTGATATATAATATTGAGGTAGTCTTTGAAAAGAAAACCCTTGGTGAAAACAGCAACAACGGACGGTTTATTTTTCGACGTTTCGGTCGGAGTCCGGCTATATTTGTTTTTAAAGAATTTTAGGTGCTTCAATAATATTATTGGTATTCTTTATGCAATGGTATGTCCCGGAAATCACGAAATTACTTAGGTACTTAAGCGTGTTGAGGGTACGCTGCTAAGCAGAATAAATAAAGTACACAACAAACAAGTTTTCTTTATTTTTTGCGTTAGGATCACGTATCATTGAAGGATATTTTGCTTCGCAACCGTTATACGGAGTGGCGTTTCAATGCAAACTTCATGACAGCCTCTGAAGTAACCTTCTGTTTAGCGCTGAGAATTTTGCAAAAGGTTTTCTGTTTGCTTCTTCAGGCTTTTCAGCACTTGCTTCAGTGAACGACGTGTAAATTAAGACGTCAAAATTTTTTTCCCCACATAATATGACGAAATATTTTTCCCTATAAGTCACATATTTGACTGAACTTTAGTCATTTGTAGGGGTCATCCAAAATTAGAGGCTTTCAAGAACATGTGGGAATGTTTTGAAAAGAGTGCACGAAAATAGGAAGACACAGTGACACAAATGCTCTTTCGTCCGCAATGACATGAAAGTTATTGACAAATGCTTTCTGCTAATCTTGGGGATAACAGCCTCTATGGTCCACAGCTGTCTGTTGACCTAATACACAACGTGTCCCTCAAGAAAGAGTAAAATAATTTTTCATCCCAACAAATAAACTACGCCGAACCGTTATTTTATTCAAAAGTTAGTTCTTTTTTTTTTTTTAGTTTTTGAGAGAAAAATTGAGCTTTTTCTTGGCAGCTACAACGCCATTCCTCCCCCTGTATTCAAGGGCTTCGTCGACTGCATTTTTCTCATTGAAAGTTTACCGAAAATTGCTTATAACTCCTGAATCAAATAATAGAAAGCTCTAAAACTTTGGAATGTGGTCCGGGCCAGAAGAGTTGCGTTTGGGAAAAAATTGAGTAGTCCGCAAGGCGTAGTTTATGTAAGCAATAAACAAACAAACACTGCAAAGTGTTTTTCTTATTACTTTACTAAGTTTATTACTATTAACATAGTAAAAATTGTATTGTCTTACTATATTACAGTAATCTATTGCATGTATGTGCGTGTGTATTTATTCCGTAGTCGCTTCTCTCACCGTGTGAAAGTTTTTTTTTTTTTTTTCTGTTAACTGAGAGTTTTATTTATGGTGTACTTATCTTGTACCTAGTAGGAGATTATATATAATCCATACTGTAGATTACTTGATTTGAAGCAGCCGGTCCCAGGATAGGGGACCAAACTCTTAAACTCATCCAATAAACGTTGAATTTAATTGTTTTGTTTCATATATATTTGTCGATGCCTATGCTCAGATGTCGACGGACGCCATGTTTGTCTCCGGCAACCACGCCACGTTGACGAGGTATTCTCGCCACGAGCCTGCAACGCACATGTACGTCTTCGAGTACCGCGGCGATTCCAGCCTGCTGGACGCGCGCCTGGGCTTCCAGAGACAGCCTTTCGATTTGGGTGAGTCCAAGATGACCACAGGAGCGTCGGAAGTAAGCTACCTCTGTACGTCGGAATTGTTGGAAAGATTGAGAGGGGGGGGGGGGGGGGGGGTTCCTCTTTTTCCTCCGCATTGTTTAATAGAAATATCGAAAGTGGTTAAGAACGGGTCCCCCTGCTTTTCCTGTCTTAACACTACTGGATGTCCGCCACCTTTCTTCCACGTGGTTTATGACCCGAGTATGTGATCGTGATCTGAAATACTGCAAAAAAAAATATATATATATCTTTGCGCGCTCAATACTTTGTGAATTTTGCGAAGTGTGGGTTTCAGGAACATTTCGCGGGCACAACAAATACCGCACTTTTGAGCGATCACGACATAATATGTATTTGATACAATAAGGTGATGTATTCGCGGGATCAGTTGTTCCCGACATTTGTTAAATCGTTAAAATATACAAAATTTAGGCCCTAGGGAAATGCAAATCGTCAATAATTAAAAAAAAAAATCTGGCCTTTGCGTTTAAGGAGGTAAATCACAAATTTATTCCCGAGCAAGATTTGGGCGTTGAGATAGTTGCTAATGAATAAAAATTTACCTTTTTGGCTACAGAATGACATAGGGTAACGTTGCTGCACTAATTTTTTTGCACATTGTATAGAATTGAAGACGCTTCACACACGAAAACTTTAAACCATACCTGTTGCAACTTTGCTTATTTCATTGACAGTCAGCAAGGATTTGATTTCTTTTTTTTTTTAGTTTGATAAACATATGGGGTGGTATTTCGTCAAAATATTTAAACCTTGGCTATTGTAGCTCATGGTGAACCGAAATGCGTCATATATTTATTCTGATATGCACACTGAGAGTATAGGACTGGAACATTTATATCCCAAAGACCAAAGAAACCCCCCAAAAATTTAATTTGAAACATGCAAAATTTGGTGCACACTATTTTCGAAACTTAAGCCACACGAGAAGCACAAACTTCACAGAAATATTTGTTCTACGCTTTTTTCTTCTTTTTCTTTTTTGGAGGGGGGAGGGGGGGAGGGTGGATGAATAGTGTTCAGACCTTCACGCGTAGTGGCCAAGTTCTAAATTAAAAAAAAAAAAGCTGCATGAAAAAAAAAAGTAAAAAAGTAATGAAAAAAAAAAAACTGAGCTAGAGGGTGATGGTGGATGTGCTTGTCCGCCTTCGCTTTCTATAGATAAACTTCTCAGTCAATCTTTCACCGTAAAACTACAATACTCGAATCTAAAAGTGCGCGGAGGTGCTGTGCTCACACGCTACTGATCTAGTTATATTTACTTTAAACGCGAACACAATCGCTTCTGCAGTGTTTCCCTAAAATTTACGCACAGGCTCTTAGACCAAGGAAGCCGTTTCGATGGGGTATGCCTCAGAAGAATTTCTTCTCTGCAGGGGTTTCGAACGGCGACGAGCTCATCTACCTGTTCCAGGTGACGGCGGACGGGTTGCGCCCCCTGTCGAACCTCGACTATCTCGTCAGCAACCGGATCGTGAACCTATGGACGGACTTCGCTAAGAGCGGGTGCGTAACTCGCAAGAAAAAAAGAAATGGAGCAGACCATCACGCGACGTGATTCGAACGGACAGCGTCAGCTGGTGCTACATTTAGCTCACATTGTGTCGTCATTGACTGGAAATTGCGGTGATGTTGCGTCACGTGGTGTCTCGGGTAAATTGCAGCCGATCACACGCAGAACAGCTCTAAGTCCGCTGCAACTCAAGAACGTAGGGCGAGGGAAAGAAATGCCGGGGAGGAGGATGCAGACGAAACGCTGAAGAGAGGAGGAAAAGGTTTCTCCTCTCCTCTCCAGCGTTCCGTCTTCTTCTTCCTCCCCAGCCTTCCTTCCCCTCGCCCTACCTTTTTTAGCTGTAACTTACACGTTCTTGCGGACGCGCTGCACAAATTGCTCGGTCGTACCAGCGTGTCCATTGTTCGCTTGGTAACGTCCTCCTCCACCTGCCGCCTCACGTTCACTCACAGCATGATCTCGACGTCGAATGCATTCCATCCTAACACCCATGGTGACACCGTCGGAGCCTACAGATCGACGACGGTTTTTCTCACGGGCGCGTTTACGTCGTCGAGCAGCCGCTGCTTGCTCCGGTGTTATGGTTCGGCCGCCCCATTGCTTGCGCGCAAAGGCTTAGAGCACTGAGGGAACGGGTGACCGAATACGAGACGTAGCAAATGGCGAGGTGCGAGATCACATCTACTCCAGTGCAATAGACTACTTTCATAAAGCCCTGCATGCAACACGGCGCGCGTTGCACTCTGGGAACTAGTTGGCCAGGGAGGAGGGTGGCATGGTTTCGGTTTCGATCGACACGTCGACAAGAGATTGTTTTCTGGTTCCGAAAGCGTCATTTGTGGTCTCTAAACTAACCTAAATGGTCATACCTCGAAGCTTTAGCACAATCCCGAGACGTATAGCTTGTCTTAACACATGCTTGCTGTATTTTTGTACTTGAGCCTTCCTGTTAGCGTTCCAATCGAGGTATGTGGACGAGCCAGTGCTGGGAGTCTCGACGCTGCGAAGCTCGGGTGCTCGGGGATCTTGCTTGTGTACGAATCAACAAGCTGTAGCAAACAATAAGTATGCATACATCGAGCTCGCGCCTTTACATTAGTGTTGTTGATCAGGAAGTTTGTTTGCTTCGTGCGTCCATAAACGAAATATTACTTTTGCCCCCACCCGCTTGCATTCAACTAATATTCAACATCGCGTATGCGCATAAAGTTATCCTGCAATCATATAGGCAAATTCGCGCATACAGACCGTTTTAAGAATGCAAAAGTCGAGCACTTGTGTGAAGAATGTCGCACCGTTCGCCAGAAGTGCGTCAGCCGGGCATGAACCCCTATGCGCACCGCATTGGGGTTCATGCCCGTCCGGCGCACGGTGCGACATTCTTCACACAAGTGCTCGAACGAATTCAAAGCGCATTTGACGGTTGCTAATGGCCATAGTATTTGTTATGTGTTTGCTTTCTTCCTGCCTGAGTATGCCGAGATAATTTCAGACACACCGTTCCCGGCACAGATCTCGGGCGTCTGTAAAAACTCGTCCAAAAAGGCTTAGCGAGGAGTAGGGGACGCTTTTTAGGGCCTCCGTCGTAGCTAGCCGATCTCAGCGTTTGCGAAAAGTTAATCTTCTATCAGCATAAAATTTGAGTGGGACATAAATGATGACACGAGGAAGACATCATAGTAACTTTTGTGCAGTAATGAGGTCGAATTTATTGCGTAAACGCTGGCCTCAACTTTGATACCCTGTGATGATGCGGCTTGCTTTTCGCCCAATGAAGTAACAAGAAGCGGACGTTTGGCAAACAAAATGCGTGTAAGGTTCCAGACGAACAAATTTCAGTTGTAGTTCACTGGTACTAGACGGGATTACTGACATTGAGCTCAAAGATACACTCGTGGGACTTACTACGTTCGCATACGCACGCACAATATCCGGTGTTTCGGGAACCAAGGAAAGTGCCCCGGTCTTCGTTTCGCATCGCTCGAGAATGAGTGTATTGTACGTTCGTGAAAAGTCAGATAATCGCAAACGCAAGCAGCGCGTTCGGTCGCGGCGTGATAGCATGAGATGCAGCTGCTCAGTCGAAACCGAAACTGAGTGGCCAACTAGTTCCCAGAGTGCACTGCGTGGTATTTCGCCGCGGTGGGGCGCGTCGGTTTTGGAAGAAGTCCATTGCGGTTGGCCGAACGTTCTGCGCTCAGCCGGGACTATCATCAGCGAAAGGGCGAAGGTATCACTGATGCACACGCCCTCTCCTGGCGCCCAAACCACCTGGGATAAACGCGCGCATGCTCGGTTCGTTTTCGGCAACACGACACTCTCCCAGTATACAACAAGCCCAAGACAGCTGTCGCAGTGAAAAAATCAGGGTTACCTATCGGACAATTTCGCGTACCCGACATACTCCAGCGACAGCTCAATTAGCATTAGGGAATTTCGAAGCCCTTCATCATAGGAAGCGATGGTTATATCTGAAATTTAGTGGACGGTTATTAAAAAAAATATAAGATATTAAATATGTATTGCAAACAAATTGTAAAAGACATACATCTTTCTCACATCACTGGGTAGAGGAAGGTTCGACGTTTTTAAAATCCCACCAACCCATGCCTGCTACTGTTCAAGATCTGAAACATCGAATTGTTGAGGCTGTGTATTCAATAACTAGGGACCAGTTGATTCGTGTGGGACAATAAATTGACTACTGTTTTGGTGTTCGTCGCGCAACACATGGTGTTCATGTTGAGTGCAAAGAACCTCCAAGACCACAAAACTTTGAACTATTAACCTTCCACTGCCCGTGACGCGCAGAACGAGTCCCTCATTTACGGTTTGTTTGAAATAAGAATGTTAAATATGGTGCTTACCTTTAAATAGCTCCGAATATTATACGCGTCCGAATAGTCGGTTGAATCGAACCGCGTAAACGCCATGTATAATCCTTAGCAAAAAGAGGAAAAAAACAAACAATCATGATCCGACTTTAGGCTGCGGACGATATACGAGAGACGCAACGCTGTTCGCTTTCAAGCACTATACTCAAACTTAAAAAAAAAAAAATGTTGAACTAAAGATGCCTAACGACAATATTCATTTGGAATGTTTTTTTTTTTCTTTTTTTACTTTGCACGAGCTTACTGGCACAAGGAGTATTCACTGGGCGCCATATTTGTGGGTGCTCTTTAGAGCGCATGCTCAGAACGAGCCCACATTAATAGGTTGCTAAGATCGGCAGTCTTGATGGTGTGGAATACACTTTGCAAAAAAGAACCGTGGAAGCTCGCCATCAGCACGCGCTCAGCAGTCGCGCACACAGCTATGGCCGCCAGTGAATACTCCCTATACAGGTGCGCAGTTTACAAACAGGTCTTCACGAGCTGTGGGCAAACGCGCAGTTCTCGCACGAGGTGTAGGGCATTGCGCGTGCGCAGAAACCAGATTCGCGTCAAGTGGAGCGTCTGCGCATGCGGCCTGCCGATAGCAGCGCCACCCCAGCAGCGTGACGTCAGCACCGCAACCAAGAAACTCGTTTGTTGCGGTGTAATTTACGGGACAACCAGCGAGCGTTTTCTTTCAATCTCTCTGTCGCAAAGCTTTAGGACGTGGCTTGGAGGTCGCAGTGTTGGCATAGTCCCCCGAGTGACGATATTTGAAGCCTTCTCATAGACTGGAGCCCGAGCATAGCGTGAGGGCTCGATTTCGGTTCGTGATAATAGGGAGTTGTAGTAGGTCCTTTTTCTCCTCCGCTACGGTATCCCCGAAGGAAACGCCGCAGCTGCGCAGGCGCGCCGCCAGCCTTCTCAGCATAGTTCAAGGTCTCGGGGCGGATTACGGAGCGCTATCCGGGTGCTTAGCGGGCTCCGGGAACGGTCTACTACAATTCCCTAATCAATAGCTCGACAAACAAAGCATTTCATACGGTGCTCGTGCCAAATCTCTGCAACGCCAATAGTCGAACCCTAAAGCCGGGGTCACACTGCGTATTCGCAGAGTGACTCCGACTTTGCGAGGGCCATGTGATTATAAAGACTCTAGATAAGAGCTTCCTACAAGCATAGCAATATTCTTTAAAGCACCGACTGCGTGACGGTGCAGGTTTTAGAAAGCGAACGGCGGCAGACATCAGAGGTCTGAACTGAATGACGCCATTTTGTCCCAGCGAAATGTGCTTTGTCGTTTGTATTGGTTGTCGTTACTTGGAAAAGAAGTATCAAGGGACTTTAGGCAAAAAGTGTGGGTATCGCCGCCTGGTGGCATTTTTTACAACCCAGAGTCAGGATACTTCAACGTCCTCTGCTGGTGCAAGTACGTGCAATGCAAATTAAAACATAACCGCGTGGGTCGCACGTGCACTATTCAGGATGAGGTACTACCCCATTCACACGGTCAACATAAAGGTGCCTTTATTATAGGTCCCTTTGCTATCGGCGAATCAGCTCGTGCTCTTGGATCACGAGCACACTCCACGCGCGGAAGATCGTTAATTGATTGGCCGCAGATAATAAAGGTCCCTTAGCTAAAGGTACCTTTGCGGTCGTGTGAATGGGAAAGCTCCTCTGTCCTAGGAAAAGTGGCGCCATTCACTGTTGTGGAAATGCTCGAGACACGTGCCGCGCGCCACTTCTGGGAGGAACATGGCGTCTGAAATCTAGAGGATGAGGAATACGTAAGCGCCTCTAGCGAGCTTCTGCATACAGATTTGAACGGGAGTCACCGCGAGATCCGTGCTTCGAATGCCGCGTAGCAATGGGAAACACAATAAAACAACCTCCGAATTTTTTTAAAAAAGAGAATCAAACAAAAATGAATTTCGATAAACCCCGAATTCTCAGCGAAAAATACACAAAAAACCCTTTTCTAAAATTTACGAGAAATAAACTTAGAAACACGGAATCCTACTTATGGTGTACTTACGCCACACATATCCAAATTCTAGCAGCAATGGGTTGCACCGCATGAGACGTTGCGTAAATGGATATCGGCAGCCCGGTAATTGATGCGCATATAGAGCTATCTGATCTCACGATACCTTCCTCTCGCAGGGAAGCACCGCAGTTCTCCAACTTCGAATATCCCCGGTGGCCGCGAGTGACGCCAAGCAACGTGTCCACGTATGTCATCGGTCGGGCCCTGATACCGGCGCCAGAGTACAAGCCCGAAGCCTCGCGATTCTGGGCCAGTGTCTCTCCCGCCCAGATGGGATGGCGCGACAGCTCGACCATGTCAGGCGCCCTGGTCACAACAAGCGGCTACGTGGAGCCGCTGTATAGGACACTCTCTTGGGCTATGGTCGCGGTGGCCATAGCTCTGGCCATCGTCGTCGTTGTGCTCCTCGTTGTGCTCTACAACCAGAAGAAGAGCCAGAGCTTCCGGGCCAGTTCGGATTTCGACAACTCTCGGATGTCGGGATCCACGCTCTACTGATCCCAAAGTAGCACCACTCGAATCCGTGGCCATACGTAGAAAGCAAGGTTTCTGTAGGTTGTAGAGTTTTACTCTAAGCTTGTTTACATCTTGCGGAGTGTAGGTGACTCGTTGCGTAATTAGTATCCTTATCGGGCAAACAAAACCGAAGGAGATGTCCTGCGAAGAGAGAGGCCTCCATCTGACTCTGATGTTTACGGTGCAGTTTTTTTCTTTTCTTTTTTGGAAGTTTAAGTTAGCATCTTTCCGAGTGTTAACGTGCAGATTGTTACCACACACAACCTTTCTTTCTTCAGAATGGTCAAATTGATTAGAGTATTTTCTCCATTTGTTTGAACCTGATGATGTCAGTTTTTAGACAAGTCATTTACACTCACGAACGGGCAAATAAGTTGAAAAATTTTACGAGAGGTACCGTGAATGATTCTCTAAGCTACATACTTTTGTAGTCCTGCAGCAGAGGTCTCTGAGACATCTGGCAAGGCAGAGTGTGGATATGCCTGGCTCTTTTTTTAGTCGCAGCCAATTACAGTTTCCGTGAACTTAGCCAGGTGGCGCCAGGCATTCTTGACGGTTTATTAGACATTTAGAAACGTTCGCGTGAAGTTTATCCGAGTGTGTTGTTTCCCACTTTTTGTATTAATACACGCAGCGATGAACCTGCACGAAGGGCGACGGTTACTCAGTGTTGGCTACTCAGTGACCATGACTCCAAGTACGCCTTCTCCAATTGTGAGGCAGTGTGTTGTGGAAGCCCTTATGTAGTCCGTTTCTCAACTAGGACGCTCAGCTGCGTATCATTTCTTTCTCGGATTATGTTTTTGTAAAAAGCCATTGCGATGCATTGTACATAATGTTTGATTATAACTTAGTATTTAACTTTTTTTCTTTTGTAAATGTAACTTTAAGGAAAGTAGCACGTCTATGCCCATAAATGAAAGTAGTTCCCGTCCGGCACGTGTATTACATTGATTACTACTTTCACCTGTGTTTTTGAGTGCGCATCTATGAATCCCGCGAGAGCTAAAAACGTTGTCCCGTGAAAATGCTCCACTTAACTGACAACGAATAAAACATCATCTGTTTTTACTGTTAAAATACTGTCATGCATTGCCCTTTGATCAAGTACAAGTGTTTTGTATCGAAATACATAAATGCGAGGTAGCATATTGTAGTATTTGTGTTATGGCCCCAAGACAGCGAACAGGAGGCGCCTCGGTCGGCTGTAGTCAGCGCGACTGGTGGCCAAAATGGGCAACATTGGGAAAGCCTAACCACCGAACGATTGGACTCGCCGCTCTGCGTCAGAGTTCGGCAAGGCACGCGGACGTTCGAGCTCGAGATCGGGTCCAATGATTGCGGCAGAGGGCCGTCTCAGAGTTGCGAAAATCCCACATAAAATGGCACCACCTGTCGAACCAAACTTCATTGCCCAAGAACGCATAGAAGGCAACTTCGTAAAAAAAAAAAAAAATTATAAACAGGGTCTGACGGAAACGGAGCTGTTCTAGCTAGTTACACCAGCTGTAGTACAAACATTTTATTGATCGATATGTTTGCCTTAGAATGTGCTTTGTCTTAGTTGTGCAGTTGTAGAGGGATTCGTGCCCGAGTCTGTTAACGCACTGCAGCACGGAGCACGTGGATGTAAAGCTAGCAGTCTTTACATCCATGTAAAGTCTGGCGGTGATATACTGCACTGGCGAAGTTTTTGATCTACAGAGGAGACATCAGATGTACAGTGGGGCTGACTAATTTCCCACCGTCTAAACATATACACAAACAAAAGTATTTGTAGAATTTTAGTTTTGATAGTGCAGTATATTTACTCACGACTGGGGTCCCCCCTCCCGTAGTGGTAATCGCACAATATATTACACGCTGCTAAAACGCTCATATAAACGGGCAGAAAAATAAATTGGACTCGTGATGTCTAAGCCTGTAGCGAGAACGTTTCGCTCCAGGCTGCTTTAGAACGGTGGCATACATATTCGAAACAATCCTGCTTTGAGTTCAAATAGCTGAAGTCTAAAAAGGGACTTCCTGAAGACCGTCAGAATAGCAGGCGGCGTTTCGCTAAGACCTTCATCTTCTGCAGCAGCCGGGAAAGCTAAGTTTTGTAGCAAAACTTTGGCTATACCATTTTGCCGGAAAGCTAACAGGTCCTTTTTTGATGCCTAGTATATCAGCTTCTTCGATATTTTGTTGGGACGACGCATTTATCGACAATTCCTCCCCAAGTCCTCTAACATTGGCAAGCCCACTCTGCTCAAAATCACAAGGAATTTAATGGCCTCAAAATGCGCAGCTAGCACAACATAAAAGTACTGCAACAGTCAAGATGGTATTTATTATTCAAAATAATGATTTTTATAATAATTATAAACGACCAAAGCCAAAGACAGATTACACCGAAGTGTGAAATTGACTTTCAACAACATTCTTACGCACAATCCAAATTCACTCTACATCGGGAAAGTGACTTTTCTGCTCAAAATGATATCATGTGAAATGTCACCAGAACGACAGCATTATAACCACGAAGTAAGAAGAGAACAACTCACTCGGAAATAAACCAGACAACCGAGCGTGGCATTCCGCAGACAAATCTTGCAACTAATGCTAAATGACTCAACTCCAATCTCATAGGAAGCAATACCTACGTTAATAAACACGGCACTTGCACAATAACTGATCGAAAGGAGTGAGTGTCAGATGGCAGGCCTGCAAGAAAACTACTTTAGGTACTTGATGATGTTGTCAATAAACCACTGCTTATCCATCTGGAGATGGTCCCCCGGAGTCGACAGAAAGACGAGCCTTCCAGACTCGTCGAGCTGCTTCAGACCTATCCAGTCCTCAGTGTAGATTTTCTGTTGCTGAAGCGGCACAATCGTCTTATCGTCGTTGTCTGGATAATAACCAAACCAGGAAGAGTTTCTGGGGTCAACCACCGAGTCCTCTTCGTAGAGGACCATCACGAAGTTCTTCAGCTTGAGCAAATTCTGCTTATAGGTCTCGTTCTTGTACCTTTCGTTGTTGATGTCTGCGAGAAAGATGCTCTTGGCGACGTAGGTTTCCCTGTGAAACGGGTCATGCCAGTACTGCGCAGGGACCAGATGATTTTGAACGGCGTCCCAGTAAGCGCCGATGTTAAGGAGTCTCCTGACGTACTCACAGAGAGTCGAGTTGTCGCCGGGACACTTGGGAAACCCGAAGACACCTTGGTGTTGACCTCCAAGAGACACCAAGTTTATCATCGGCGGATCGGGGCATCGCTGAGCAACAGCTCTGAGGAACTGACTTCCCTGCGAAAACCCTAGCGCATGGTAGCCACCCGATAGCGCTGAGTCATTTCTGATGATCTCGCAAGCGACTCTGACCTGGTCGTTGGTGTTCATGAAGTAGCCGTCCTCGACTTCTTGAATCATTGTGTCCCCGATTTTGAGGGAATTGATGTAGACACCCGGAATTTGTTCCTTCACGAAGTCGGTGAATCCGCCGAGGCTAAGAGGGTTACAACAACTGTCTCCGAGACCGTGCCAGAACACAATTGGCGTCTGCTTCTGGTTCGCATCCGCCGCATCGTTCGTGATTCTGCTGTCCCTCGAAGAGTCACTTGTCCCCGATAAGGTGAGGTCGTCCTCCGTCGTTGCCACTAAATGAGAGCTTACCGCGCAGGTCAGTATTAGCGAGTAGCAGCTAAGGAAGGCTAAAAACGACCGCATCGTGCGAAATGGCAACTCGCGGCTGCGAAAGGTGCTGCTGTGTCTGCAAACTTCTAGCGACCTTACATCTTGAAAAAGAGAAGCTCACAATCACGTCGTTCCCGACGCCTGACACTTGAACCAGCTTGAAAGATAGCTGTTATCTATGGGCTATCAGTAGCCGTCTGGACAAAATGGAGTCGGCATAGCCATGTACCCAGCGCGAGTAGGGTGAGCTGAAGGGGGATGTGCGCTCATTGTTTGATTCGGCACAGAAAGCTGGAAGTGATGGTGTGTGTGTTCTTTTCATCTCCGCACTGTAACAGAAACGCCACGCACGTTTCCGCCTAAAAAGTGTGGAGGCACTGGGATCGAATCTGATGCAAACGTCATAGATCTGCTCACCCAATCATTTACCTAAGCCGAGCCCCTAATTGTTTTGATGTGGGCAGGCATCGTACAGGCGTGCGGTCGTGTAATAAAAGGAGCGTGTATCACGTTATAGACTTCGTGTTAACCGTCCCAGACCGCGTTCGATAAGTTACCCCTCCCCAACGTCGTACCAATCACTGAATCAATAAATGAATCAATCAGTCAATTTAATAATGTCTCAACATTTGAGAGGGGAAGGCAGAGAAAAAAAGCAGCATTTAAGCATTTAGCAGCTTGACAATATGCTCACCTCCTCTTTATATTTGCACAAGGGTACAATGCGGTTACACATTTTCGAATTTATACATAGAGCAATAAAATGTCCATTTAAACTAGAGACATTCTACAATGACAGTACAAAAAGTCTTAGACCAAAAGAACAAGCATATTTACGTACATTGTACTCAAGATACTGACCAGTTAGCACTTACGCAAAAGTTGTACAAGGAACCCCATCATACCCCGAAACAGAAGCACGAGCCAAACGCAATGAAAGTATTAGTGAAACAAGCTACGATTTTATTTTTTACTAGCATTGTCTGCGCTAATGCATTTTTCCTGAAGATCATTTAAAACTTGTGGGAGCGTAAATACCCTTTCCGGAATTCAGTCTGGCCACTTTGATCATTATCATCATCATCTGAAAATGGCATATGTGCTATACTAATGGCGGCCTTCTGTTTACTGATGAAGGAAGAAGTTGAAGATAATCCTAAGCAGATGATTCGAGGCCTATACATGCTAGATGTTAGCGCGGCGTGAAGCAGGAATTGGACGCAAGAGCTGCGTAAGCGTTCATTTCTAACTCGGTCCCAGTCAATCTGTTAGTAGCACTCACTCGGCTTCAAAGCCCCTTGATGTATAGAACTCTATCAAGGCGTCTATGTGGGTTGGCGCTTCGTTCCAACTGGCTGGATTTGTTTCGCCATCGACACTAAAAGAGATTGAAAAATAATTGTAGTGAAGTACACTTTCTCGTTTACCGTTGACCTTTAAGTGACGGTGCCCCATAAAATACTGCAGACCACAGGTTCATTGCCGCCATTAGTATAGTAAAAGATAAACTGCCATTTGAGTCACCAGATGGCACTGAATTCCGGAAAGGGTCTATTGGTCCTAGAGCGTGGTACTGACCAAGACCGGGAATTACGGGTGCCATATGGTGGGACATGGGACTCTAAACAGGAGATCAAACCAAATAGTCTCTCGGAGCTTTGTAAGGACCTTTTTTTATAATATAAGGATCTTATTGCTGCAAGAATTTTTTTTCTCAATATATCAAGTTTTTAAACAGCAATTTGGCAGGATCATCATACGCGACATTAAACACGATTGGTATTGCTCTTTTTTGCACTACATAAAGGTTGTGAGTATTCGCTTTCGTGGTGGTCTTACACACCAAAAAAAAAAATAATAATAATTTGAGACAGAGAAGTACAGAGAATTGTATATTAGCAACTTTACCCAGGCTGGACGTATGGGACGGTGTTTATACGAAACGCTACAGCCTTTGACAGCCTTATCGCCATGTTCCGCACAGTCTCATCCTACAGCATACGCTAATAAAGGTTACGCCAAGTACCTTCACTTTTTTTCTCCATTTCAACATTGGTCGAACCAAGAAATAGTACCCGATTGTTTGTGCAGCACGCCTTTCTTGCTCGGAAAATAATGGCCTTGGTTTTTGCGACATTTATTGCTAAGGGGTTTTCGATGGTCATAATGTCTAACCTCTCGAAACATTGGTTCGCTCTTTCTCAAATGAAATCAATGTTAACTACTGAAAAAAAAAAAAATCTAGTGTCATTGCATATATTCTGTAGTTCATGTTAATATCTAAATTAACTATATCATTTATAAAAAGGCTGAAAAGAGGCTGCTCAGATTACTTTTTTTTTTTTTAGCACACCCGTCTTAATTTGGCGCATGCTTGAGTGTTCCCCATTAATATCAACGTACTGATGACGATCTCTTAGATAGCTTTCGATTACATTTAAAGCTGCACCCCGGACGCCAGAGTGGTTTAGTTTTTGTAGTAAGGTTTTATGGTTGAGGCGATCGAATGCCTTCGATAAGTCAATAAAAATGCCCAACGTTTTCAGTTTGTTTTCGATATTTCTTAATATAATTTCTTTTTGTTTTAGCTGCGCCAACTTCGTCGAAAGCGTAGTTCCAGAAAATTGATGACGGGTAATCACTGAGTGTTTCTTTCAAAATGAGCACAATTCATATGTATCATTTTTTTTCAAGCCCTTTCGAGAACACCAGTAGGATAGTCACAGGCCTGCAATTAAGTATACGCTATTTTATCCCCTGACTTGAAGAGCGCAAGCTTAGCCAGTTGCGTGATTTGAGGAAACACCCCATTTTGAAGGGCCAAGTTATAAAGGAGTGTCAAACAGGGAACAACAGAAAAAAAAAATGACGTGTTTTACCGGCTTGATTTAAATTCCGGGCACGTTGTTACTTTTACTATTCTTAATAAAATGCCCGAAGACCGCTATTACTTCTTGGTCGTTTTGTATGCAGCAGGGAAACACTGTCTGAAATGATATCCACTAGGTTACACGCATTGGCAGAGTAAGCGCTTTCACTCAAGTCCACGAAATGGTTATTAAGCGTGTCAGCTAACCCCGTGCCAGTTTCACTTTCACCATTTATTATACGTGCTATAATTTTGTCAACATGGGACTGCGGCCTAAGTCACCTGTTTACTTTCTTCCACATTACGTCTTCTCTATGATCCGTTTGGAATACGTGGCAATGCTGCACGCTTTCCGAAGAGCCCTCGTTACGGTGTTCCCTTGTTCTTACTTTTGAATCGCTGAGGACGCTCACGTTTTTAGTTGGTAAAAATTTGATATGAAGCACATCCCCACGATTAATGCTTTTCATTATTTAGGGTGTGACCAGTCTTGTACAGATTAAATGTAATCGATTACCATTACAATTACTCTTGATTAAAAAATATTCAATTAGATTATTTGATTTCTTGAAAATAAAAGTAATTGGCCGTTGCTTGAAAAAGTAGCCATTACTTTTCCAATTACAACAAATTAAAAAAAGAATTGTCGGTTTTAAAACGGGTTTTCCGTACTGTTCATCCTTTGATTACAAATTCACCGGAAAACCACCGAACTGCAAACTACTCATCTTCTCAATCCACCAATTTTGGTAAACCTTCCACAACTTTGTTCAAAGATTCCTTTGAACTTCTTTATTATTTATTTATTCTTTAATAATACTGAAATCACTTGATGGCATTTTCGCAGGTGGGCACAACAATAAAAAAATACAACATCATGGCAAAAAGAACAAAAATAGAAACAAGTTATAGTACACATGAAGAAATCCGGTACCAAAGGATCCAATATTGGCAATGGTGGCTGCATAACAACTCTCTCAGCGAGGTCATTCCACTCACTGAATGTTCGTGGAAAAACGGAATACTTAAAGCAATTATTACGCGATTGAAAAGGAGTTGTCGTTAGGCATGCCTTTATCGAGTAGTATGTTCTGATGAAAACGTGATTAATTCGAACAGGTCTACCTCATAATGGACATCAATTGACTGGTCAAACCTTTTGTCGAGAATGCCGATTTCTTTCAGATAATGACAGTAAATTAGTTCAGCGTAAAAGTTCGGTTATGGAAGTACGCCCAAAGTTATTATAGATAAAGAGAGCGGTATTTTTCTTGTAATCGGTCAAGTTTACTAATGTTAATCTTAGTGAAAGGATCCCAACTGATTGCAGCGTAATCTAATGTTGGCAGGACTATAGTTTTATGTGTGAGAAAACGCAAGGAAGGGGGAGAAAGTTTTAACGTTTTTCTAAGAAATAATAACTTCCGAAGAGCATTAGATGTTACGTAATCTATTTGCTTTGTCCAAGTAAGATTATGAGTAACCCACAGTCCAAGGTACTTATATTGCGTGACTTCTGATAGTGGGATAATTTTAACCTTGTGAACGAGATTTAAAGGGTATTTTTTGCTAGCAATTCTTATATAAAAAAAAACGTTTTATCAAAGTGAATGGTCATTTGCCAATTAGTGCACCATGTCGCGATATTTTGAAATGGTTTGTTTAATAAAAGTTGATCCGAAGCACAATCTGCTTTTGAGTATATTATGCAGTCATAAGCGTACAATTTGATTTTTACAAAACGTATTGTACTATGTCAATAATAAAAAAATGAGAGGGCCCACAGACCCCCAAGCAAACACCAGAGTGTACAGAAAGTCGGTTAGAACAATGTTCACCAAAAACTACGTATGGTCGACGGTTTGAGAGGTTTGCTGAGATCCATTTTACTAACTGTGTATTTTTTCATATTTTGTCTAATTTGTAGATTAATTTCTTATGGGAAACCTAGCTTATCAAATGCCTTCGAGAAATCCATAAAAATAGCATCAATTTGATTTCTGTCGTTGATTGCCGAGGAAAAATTGTGGATATTTTGAATCGATTGACTACATGTCGAGAAAACTTTTGTGAAGCCATAACGATGCTTAGACAAAATCTTATTCTCATTCAAGAATGCTCATAAATTAGTGTATATTATATGTTCAATACGTTGACATGCAGTGGAAGTCAATGAAATTGGATGGTAATTCCCTATGCATTGTTTGTTCCCGTTCTTATGAATTGGTAATATTGTCGGGCCCAAAAGACTTTTTATCATCAAGTTTCATTAGCATATTCA